CCAGTGAAATCAAGTCTGTCTATGACGTCCGCATGCATGGAGCCTTTCTTGCCTCGTGCCTTGCCCTTAGCCTTATCAAGAACATTCGCTGTGTGAAGGATGGAATCCTGGGATAATGAACGACGACCGGTATATGTGGGACGTAATGGGGAATTTCCCTGGGCACTGATAAGTGAAAAGATTAGCGTCAGTGAGAAAAACGGGCGAGACAAGGACATACGTTTGACTTCTTCCCATTCTTGTGCGTGAAGACTGATCCACACCTCTGACCTGAACAGTGTCCCTAACAGCCTCTACGATTGTATTATCGCGATGTGGGAGAGATTTGGTAGGAGACGGGGCCATCCTATTGTATTGGGGATATTTAGGCGGAAGCTCTGGGGGAAGGCGGGGAACAGGCTTTGATGGGTAAATTGGGTCTGAGAAGGGGTCTGAATGAGATCTGTGGCGGGTTCTACTATGTTTGGGTGGTTGGGTTGGTTGTCTTGATGTAATATGTTTGCTAGCTGGATTATTGGAAGTACTCAACAAATGCGAGGCGGCCATGTCACCCGTGTTCACCTATTGACACGCCCAGACCAAGCGTTATTTACTTCAAAGAAGAATATTTAATGGAATGCTGCTCGTCGTTTGTGATAACGAAGTTAGGCGATTGTGGACGTCGACTGTGACGGCGGGAACGATGCTGTCACCAAGGCTATGTTTGCCCTATTTATACCAACTTTGCAATCCGGCCGTAGTGTGTTATCCACTTTCAGTCACTTACGGTTAAAATTTCAAAGTAACTTTGTTACTACCTAATTTCATCACCTTGCAGCAATCTGCTGCCATGGGTGCAACGAAGAAGGAATGGACCAGAGAGGAAGTCGCAGTCCGCATTCTTGCTGGTGAAGCACTGGTTGTCTACAATAACCAGTTGCTGCGCATTCCCCAAGCTTGGTTAAATGCCCATCCAGGTGGTTCCCTCGCAATTCTTCATTTCGTAGGACGCGATGCCACCGACGAGATAGCCGCCTATCACTGTGACCAGACTCTTGCAAAAATGAAGTCATACGTCATTGGCACAGTCGAAACCTCGGACGGCATTTGGGAACCTCTTGTACCCCCAATCATGACAGGTTGGGTTCGGAAATTGTCTCATGATGGCAAAACCGCATGGCACAATGAAGCCACTCCACTACCACCTTCCAATCTCTCCTCCGAGATTCTCCTGGTCGAACGTGACTCTTGCCTCCTTGAAACTTCAGGTCCCACTCTATCTCATTTGGTTCCCCCTGCAACAAGACTTTCCTTGAAAGACCAAGCTCGCCATTCTGCTGCTTACAAGGCGTTGCATAATCGCATCATCGACGCCGGTCTTTATAACACGCGTTACATCACTGGTTATGGCCCAGAGATTGCGCGCTATCTTCTCCTCGCTGCGTCATCCGCAGTAGCTTACTCCCATGACTGGCTCATAATAAGTGCTGTGTGCCTCGGCCTTCTATGGCACCAGCTCGTATTCACCGTTCACGATTTAGGACACATGGGTGTCACTCATGATTGGACCAAAGATCGCCTCATTGCCATCTTATTAGCTGATTTCATCGGTGGTTTGAGTGTCGGTTGGTGGGTTGACGTAAGTTCACTTACTTCTCCCACGTTCACTCGCTGAACACCTGTCGTATCTCAAGAATCACAACGTGCATCATTGTGAGGCTTTGCTTTGCAACATACCTTGGTCTAACTACTGATACTTGCTTAGTGGTTACAAATCACCCTTCGCAGTAAGTTCGATGGCTGTTGTGTCACTGCACATACATTTTAAAAAATGACAGTGATCCCGATATCGCCCATCTACCATTCCTCGCAGTCTCAACGACGTTTTTCAAATCGCTGTGGTCGTCGTACTACAAGCGAACTATGGTCTTCAATCGAGTTTCCGCTTTCTTGATTTCCTTACAACATAAGCTATTCTACATATTGCTTGGTCTTGGCCGCTTCAATCTATATGCCAATGCATATGGATTCTTGTGGCGCAAAGCCTTCGATCATGGAAGAGCAAGGGGTGGCCGGTGGTCCTGGCGGCTCGAAGTCATCGGCGTCCTCTTCTTCTGGTTCTGGTATGGAGCAGTCCTGAAGGGATGTGGATCGTGGAGCAGAGCCATTACATATCTTATGGTCTCGCATGTCGTCACAAGTCCTCTTCATGTCCAGGCACGTGACTATCTCGGTGTATTGCCCGTTCATTAATGTGGCCACAGATCGTTTTATCACATTTCTCCATGTCTACGGAGGATTTGGGGCCAGTGGAATCGTTCCCGCACCGCCAACTTCGAACTACAACAGACGTCATATGTCCTCCTCACCTTTCATTCATGCATGGCGGATTGCATCTCCAGGTGACTCATCACCTCTTCCCGCGTCTCCCACGACACAATTTGCGTGAGGCTAGCGTCCTGGTGAAGGAATTCGCCAAGGAACAAGACCTCGTGTATGCCGAATTTGGATTCATTAGTGGTAATGGAGAAGTGCTGGACGTGCTCAAAGGTGTGGCGGATCAAGCAAAGATCGTGGGTATGGTCGCCGATCACGAGATTCGGGAGGCGATAGAGCAAAAAGTGCGATAAACGCATGGGACTCTTCGACAGAAGTATTACTAGATCCAACCATAATCGGACACCTTCGGCATCTTCACGTTCTATGACTATGTAGATAGAACGTGTGATTGAAACACTGAAGTGGCTTGCGATTTCGATGCAACGCAAAACAGTCGTGTCCATGAGCATACGTAACGCATGTGATGCCCTAGGCACAACTTGTCGTACCCGGCTTTTAGGAGCATACAAGAGGGTAACCGGAAAGCATGATGTAGTGTGGTAAGACATAAAGAAGAGAAAACTACTTTTTCTTGTTTGCTTCCTCTTCCTCCTTCTGCAAACAATAACATTTCGTTGAGTAGCTGAATTCGCGACAGCTGGTGAACAACAAACCTTGGCTGCCCGGATTTTGCGTACACCCTCATACCGAGCATCAGCTCGTGCAACGCGAAGGGTCTTGAAAGCCTCGAATGACCGTTCATTGTCTGTGATTTTGCGGGGTGCTTCATGAATGTAGGGTGCGGGAAGAGGAAGGTGCGTGCGTGTAGTCTCAGCCTCGAGATCGGCACCCTATCAAGTAAAAATCAACATCGATTCAATATTCCAAGGGCGAACACCACACACAGTCGAGTCGCCCTTCTTGGGCTTCTTAGCATTCCGAGGGAAAACGATCAGTTTGGCCTTGTAGGCCTTCAACCGCTCGACATTCAATTTCTTCCCCTCCTCGCTCAAGTTCCTCCTCCTGTGGTCAACAACAATACCTACACCAAGTGCTTCTTTGCGGTTGATACCAACTTCTTTCAGCTCAGCAAGGGTGAAACCGCGGCCCTCCCGGACCTTACGGTTGTAGCGAACAGTCTGTGCACGAACGGCGGGACGGAGGAGAGTGAGTGGGCGGACACCAAGGGCAGCGGCCTTGGTCTTGCGAGCATTGCGTCTGCGGAGTTTGCGACCGGGCTGGTCGAACCAGGTGCGTACCCGGCGCTGCCAGTCTTTGCGGAAATGGTTAGAGTGAAGTACTGTGGACACATAATGTCAGATCGGACGTGTCGAACGAAAGTTTCCGATGAGATACATACCGTTGTTGTGCGCGAAACCCATGGCTTAGTCTAGAGCCAAAATTATAATGTCAGCACAATGATTTTGTGATGTGGATGCATGTAGAGTAGTACATCTGACAGCATATGGTCGAATCCAGCTTTTCCACCTGTCTGTCCGCCCATTTTCTCCGATCATATGCAGCAAAGGCAGGCCTTCGTATAACAGAACATACAATGGACGAGCATACTCACCTTGAGGACGGGCTTTCTTGACGCTGAGGACGGCGAGCAGCTTACCACCCAGCACAAGATTTGGACTTCGGCGATTGCCGTGGGTTGATGCGGCGATTGATTTTTAGAAGTTAATGATCACGTGGACATTGTAGTCACGTCCGTCGTTCTCGACGCGTTGACGCGTGACGGCTACGCATGCTTCATTGAATTTCGGTAAGGTCTATGGTGATATCCGCCTCCTTCTTCATAGCAGGTTCTCTATTTCGTAATGCGACACAGCGAAAACAAAAAAAATTAGCCTTACAGCTCACAGAGAAGGCAGTTGAAAAGAAATTTTCAACGATCAACTATCAGAAACGACAGTGTTCAATTCTTGGAGGTACTATTTGAATACCTTTATCTATGCCATTTTGATCTCAGGCCCGTTTGATAGGTGTCCCTAAGGCATCAACTGTAACAAACTCAAACCTTGGGTCCATGGTTCAGGCTTCAGCCCTATGCTTTCTATGAAATTGCACTGAGTACAAGAAACTCCTCGAAGATTGTGCCACTACGTTAGCCCGCCCTCACATGTTCTAGCCTGATTGTTGTAGGCAGTGCATCTTTTACTGGAATTTTATCAAGAATTCAATCAAATACATCGCACATGATCAATACACTGTAATCGGCTGCGGTCACGGTTTCCCTCAACATTTCTTACCCGTATCACAACTAGCCTCAACGTTTCGGCAGACGATGCAGAGGGGAAATCGAGTTGTGCTTACTCGTTGTCCCTCCGAATCCAATTCCCCACTTTCATGATCAATTACTGGATAACAACTCATGATGTACATCGTTTATCGATGTCTGCAACACCACTCAGGGTCATCGGTGTTCCCATGAAATGATGGACCTTGCGGCCGCAGGCACGCGCCGCTGCCTTGCATCCAAGCCGTCTATGTAATCTCTTTTGTGTCCATTGCGAAACATTTCCTCTCCTGACACGATAAATGAAATGTAAAACTTGTTATATGTGAAGTATTATCAAAGCGCTTGTAGGATATTCTGACATATGATGTCAATCAAACCTCGAGAGTGCAGTGTGCTTTTTTCTCATGGTTGCGCCGTTATGGAGCCCCTCGTCTAATTGAGAACCAGTACCTATGCTGACATAAGTAATTAATTGGCACGAGGTCGGCATTAGGCACGATATTTTCTGCACTTTCCTCTTTGCACAAATTCTCTGTCATTATTCCTTGGCTGGGACTGTGTCCGTGTCTTTCTTTATCATTTTCTTCATCATATGAGCATGCGAAACTCACCCCACCTTCGCTCGTTTACGTGCATAATTTCTTTCTTCTCAGCAGCACGCGCATTCAGCGTGACAGTCGGGACTCCAACTCAATGCGACGATCTCTCTGTTTCATGGACTGGTAAGCAAGCATCTAGTATATTTTATATACTCCTGCTGAAATTGATAATCAGGTGGTCAGCCACCATTTGAGATCCTCTTGACTCCCGTTCGTCAGCGCTATCATGCGTCGATCACGTATTAACCTTACGCCTTCTAGGTTTTCGCAGTACCGCAGAATATATCTGTACCAGCATCAGCCTTCAGCAATAACAAAGGCTCATATACAATATCCCAATTGCCATTTTGGAATGCAACAGAATTTCTACTCACTATGTCTGATGCCACCGCATTTGGCTCAGGTGGGACGTCACCCATCTTAAAGGTCGGTAATCCTGTTGCCAAGAACAACTGCAACACTACAGGTGCATCTGTGGATTTCACGTTTGATTTGCCAACATCACTCCAGCAATGCAAGTAAGTTTTGATTGGCTTATCTTTTGTGGCCTTGACCTATCATTGCCGTAGTGGGTATACCTTTGATGACTATGGCAATGCAACCCAACCCATTACTATTACGGTAAGATTACCACCGACCCTATCATCATGATGAATATACTTACCTTTCCACAGGCACTTATTCCTGGTGGAGAGTCGCTTATACTCTACCCTCCGATTGGCCCCAGTTATACTTGGGTTGCAGATGTTAGCGCCGGGACGACCCTCGTATTTGTGATGACAGATTCCCAGGGTAGGCAAGGTGGCAGTTCTGACCTCGAGACGGTGTCACTTTCGAACAATGCCGCGTGCCTCAGCTCCAACTCACCATCGTCAACTGCATCTGTGCCTTCGTCCACCACAGCATCCACGTCAGCTGGCATTTCGCCAACGTCCAGCCAAAATACTTCATCAAGCAGTCATACTGTTACTATTGCCAGTGCGGCGATTGGTTGTGTGGTAGCCCTCGCCGCGTTGGCCTCCCTCAGCATGTTCTTGTTGCGCAAACGAAGAGCGTCTCGCTCTCCGTACGTCATGTCTTCTTCGAAACGCCATTCACATCGACTCCCATCTATGGATCTCGACCACGAAGGGAGCCGATATGGTCACGTTCCACCAATTTACCCATTCCCATATCAGACAGACTCTGTCAGCCATCTTGCTCCACCCATTCATCCTGCAGCCCAATCACACCTAACCAGTCCGTCCACTGGCGATTTTGCGCTCAGCAATCCTCACACACCATTTAGCCAGACACAGCATTCGCGTCAAATATCTAATACAGACAGCTTCGCCGGGGACGGGGATGGTGGAGGTTCATCTATGACATCTACTGGCAGACGAAAAGCTGCAATGGCTGGCCAAACAGCATACAAACCTTCCACTCGGTTCATCTTACATACTGATGTGGAGGACATTTTGCCAGACGATAATGGCATAGTAGAACTTCCCCCGCAGTATTCAGAGCATCGGCAACCCCTTACCACACAACCTGGGTCTGTACCAAGACCGATATCATCACAGTCTGATTACTCGAGTCTGACCGATCTAGCATATGCCAGTACCGCGCCTGCTTCACCCACTTCGTTGCACTCTCCTTTACCACCTCATTCATGATGCACAATCTATGTTGTCACAGTGCGCACTCTCTCGTCTCCTTGGACATGTTGCAGACAGTTTTCTTTCGTATGGGAGGCGTCTTGTCCTCTATCTCTACTGCTTTTCTGACGCTTCATTACAATTGCTATTTAAATCACTTATTTATGGCCAGCGCTAAGCTCGACATCCGCTCCTTTTACATTCGTAATATATATTCCCCGGGACGGCGCCACCGGAGTGCAATACAAGAGGAAAATTTGATACCTGTACGCAACTTGTGCTGGAAATTTTGTGAGAACAGACAACCATATTGTGCATATCTTAAGACAGTTGATGGGATGAATAATAATGTCAAGTCGCCCACATATGCGGTAAACAAACATCAGTTTTGTCTAAATAGTACATGCTCGAAGTCAGGCCACCAGAATAAGAAGTTGTCAGGGGGTAGTGTTTAGAATACAATGTGCATGTTACTGCGCACCTTCAAGGTTGCGCAATCATGTACGGTTGTTGGTCAACACGCCGTTACTCTGTCTAATCCATCCATCGTCAAGAAGTGAATGCGTTCATGAATCTGGCACATCATCGCCGAGATGCTGTTGCTGGAATGCGTCAATCATTGCATCCTGGTCTTTACGACGCCTATGTCTCCTGCGTCTATCCTCTTTAATGACGCGCTCAATGCGCCGACGAGCCTTGGTATGGGTTCGTGGATCAACTACGGCGAGTCTGCAACGATAGCATGCAAGTTCAATGCTTGCAAGCAGGCGAAGCGTTTCGGAGTTGTTCACGGCCTGAAATTCGGTATGAGCTTGGTATGACACGATCAAAAAGGACGACCAATCACGTTCAAAGACCATGAGATAACCCGAGAACCCTCGACGCAACCGACGACAACGAAGTTGCCACGTTTTTCGGCCTGGAGCTCGGATACCTGCGTCTAGTTGATAAGTTTCATGATATTGAAGTGAAGTCATTGCTACCTCTCCGAATGCGACCAACACTTTGCTAGATGTCAACGAGCGTACAACTGCATGGGGATATGATTAGAGATCGAACGTAATCTCGCGAATCAAACGATGCTTACCGACACGAGAGGACTGGCCTACTACTTCCTGTGATACTAAAGCACGTCCAAGATATGCCCAGGAGTCCTTCTCAGGTCGACGAATATGCACCTTGACTTGGATATCTCGAAACTCGCGGACAGGTGGGAGGACATTGGCTATTCCCCAAACCAGAAGTCAAAAACATCACACTTGAGCACAATCGGATGTTTGGCGAATCACTGTACGTACGCATCAAAGAGGAAGTGTATTCACTCTCAATACTGGGCAGCCGCGGCGCTACCTGTACGGAGGAGCTGCCGCCTTCCATCACGGCATCATTATCCATTATGTGTATCTGCAGATTGCAGGATCAACCCAAATTCAGTTCATAATAATGCTGGACAAACTTCTGTGAGTGAGGACCGTTAAAACTCGTCGTTGCGTGCGTCTGACGTGCAGTGGGGTGAGGCCTCGGCTGAAAGGGCTATTACTGCATGCTCACGTGACTCATTATCGGTGCAATACGACTTGAAGATTCTTTGGGCTTTCTTAGGCTTCCTCCCATTAACAAAACCAACTATAGTCAACCACGAGCACGACCAAGGATTACTACGCACCTGCCGTATCTGTCGTAAATTATGATCTCCCTTTAATGACTTTCAAGCTGGTCCTTTCTTTTCAAAGGTGCCCAAGCACAACATGAAAGAGTTCTTGCTACTCGCGAGCCTTTGAGCCACCAGATCACTATATATACGAGAGCTTGCCGGCCAATGAAGATCAGAACTGGCTTGTATTTATCAATGCATTCATCTAAGATACTCCGCCGCACACGCGTGCCTCGCCCGCTGACAGCAGAGTCTTCCGAAGAGTTTGAAGAACTATCCTCCTCTCGGTTTGCTCACGGAGATGAGCAAGTTTCACAGAAGTACGTGATACAATTGGACGACTTCGGGATCGAAAGAGCAAACAACAAGGCAATGACCCAATGAAGCTGGAATGTCTTGTTTGATCGCTTATGCCTTGCTTATGCCAATCTAATTTATAACAGTACGACAAGAAAGATGAAGGCTGTATTGAGAGTAGTCAGGGATCAACCAATGCTGAAAGCACATCTGGTAGTATGGAGGACGATGACGAAGACCGCTCACGCAGGAACAAAGTGCGACAACCCCCTACTGCCGGAAGTCAGGATGTGGAAGAGACGTTTAAAAAATGTCCTCCCATGACATCGAGATTATCAAGCGATTGCTTGAGTACATTGACTACAGCAAGGATCGATCTAAAGTGGCGATAGCAGTTGATGGGAAATCGGAGATGAATAGCTGCAGTCTATGAAGACTTGGATTAAGCAGCATGGACACGAAGTGGACAACCAGCCGAGTGATTTTAGTGCTAGCACGGATGGCTGCAGGCAATAGGATATCATGGGTTGGGTTTAACGCGAATATACGAGATACTCCACATCAACGTGAACAATGACGTAAAAAACAAGAGTGGCAAATCAATTATCGTGAGTCGGGTGCAAGGAAATTACCCGCTACCAAGCATAAATTACGGGGGGTGAAGTGCACGTTGGTGATAGGAGTCCGTTTGGTAGGGAACGTCGCGAGCAGGTCAGATCTGATGGTAATGTCAATATCAATGGCATAGGCTATGTTGCATGGAACGAACGTTTCATTGTTTTCGTCATCGTTCGTCCGTGTGATAGTAGATTCAGTAACGCCACTCTCCCGTGATTTACCGGATCCACCAGCTCCCCTCACGTCCCAGCAGCGTACCGTCCAGTCTGCACCTCCACTAACAAGCATGGATGACTCGGCACTAAATGAGAGAGAGTATACAGATGCTGTATGCCCAGTCATTTTTTTGATACGACGTCCAGAACCGAGATCCCAAAGATTGATTGCGAGGTCTTCGCCTGCGCTGGCGAGATATCGTCCATCTGGACTAATAGCCAACGTCGAAAGGCTCCCTTGATGGCCGATAAAAACACGAACGCAAGCACCACGTTGAACATCCCAAAGCCGCGCAGTCCAATCACTTGAACCCGTAGCGAGGTATAACGAATTAGGATGGAACCGGACGCACTTGAAACAACAGACGTAAAATCAGTTATGGGAAACTTATCTTCTGCGAGGTCACTCACGTCCACATCACTCAAGTGCCCTGCATAGATTCTCAAACACGATGTGCGGTCTGTTGACCATAACCTGGCGGTTCGATCACGGCTTGCTGTTGCAAAATAGATGCCCATAGGACTCCACTGAACGTCCCATACAGGGTTTTGATGGCCACGAAAAGCAATGACATTCGTCATTGTGTCAAGGGACCACAGTCGTGTAGTTGCATCTGCTGAAGCAGAGAGAAGGTATCTTGGGGGCACAGCTGATCCTCCCAATGGATCAAAGGATAAAGAATACACAGGACCGCTGTGGCCGACGAGCTTTCGGGTTGTATTTCCTTCTTTTTGCTGTATTTTCGACAACGACCCAGCTAGCGTTCGAATAAACACCATCGTTGTCACTCATTCAACTTGAGAGAACTCACAATCCTTCACTGAACTCAGAGAGAAGTCATTGCGTAGTCCCTTGAGTTTTTCATTCTTTAGGCTCCATAAACGAATGTAACTCTCAGAAAAGCCGGCCGCCATCAGAGTCAAGTCAGGTGAGAAGGTGCAACACGGCGCACTGCTCAAATCATTTCGTTAGGAAATATGCTAAGTCTGTTTCAAATACTTACCCTTCTCCGACGTCATGTAGCGTATACGCACAAATGCTGGGCAAGCCACGCGCACGAGCAGCGCCTCCTTGCACCGAGTTCATGTCAATAGAACTTAGCGCAGAGGGCTCGAGTCGTATACGTTTCCTTGCATCTCGTACTTTCTCGACCTCTCTTTGAACATCGACCGTTTTGAACGACTGGGGATAAGGAAGCATGTCTGATTCAGTGGGTGAGATAACTCCCAGGACAGCTGGAGGCCTCAGGAATTGCAAGTCGTATTGAGCATTGGGATCGCGGTCCAGTACAGATTGTTCGCGGATGACGCGTTCAGTCTCCGCGCGCAACTCTTCAGAGATGGGGGCAGGGCCAAGTTTTAGTTCGCCTTTGGAGGCATTGAAAGTATGAGGATTAGGAGTGACAGAAGTGCTTGTTTGCGGAATGAGCTGCGACAGCAGGCCAGTCGATTCTTCCCATGCATTGGGCGAAACTGCTGTAGCGCTCGCAGAAGTCACTAGCCTAAGTTTGAGCTCATACACATTGTTTGAGAGGTTAAAAAGTTACCATCAAAGCGAAGATGGTTGTTCACCACTCGCATAATTGCTGCTCGGCCTCTCTTTCCTTTCTCGCCAGAGAAACCATCCCCTGCGCCAGTGGCTTCACCTCCAACTCCTTCTGTCAGCCATCCCACCAACAAGCTGAAACCTGACCGGCTCATTCTGATGACATATTTTTCATTTTTGAAGCGCTGTGCATCATCATCATTTTGAACATGTGAGGGAAGCAGGAGAGTCGAGAGATGATGTAAAGTAGCGTGATGCATCGGGGCTAAAGACGGCGAATATGTCGCGTAGAAGCGCAGGGCTAAGAAAAGTAGAAATATCGGTCGAACGAATACAGTACAAGGTTTGCCAGACATACCAGCTTCCTTGAATCCTCGCTGCACAAGATCCAGATGGAAATGGCAAAATATGGGAAACAGGATAGGTCGAAATTCCGGCTATGCGATAGAATTAACCTACATCTATGGCAGATGGATGCTCTCGGAGTACCTTGTACATGTCAAGTGAACCTTCAACCCACGCTTCGAGCTCTCGGAATCCCTCCTCCTTGTCCGTTGGATCAACAGACAGGATATCTTCCGCGCCAACAGTACCAAGGCTAGCAATCAAGGTCTGTATACTCGGCGGATTTCCCATCGCCGTCAGTTCCTGTAGAACATTTGCACTTTCCTTCAATACATTGTCCCCCGGGCGCGATGGCTTTTGTGCATAAACAGCAAGAGTCTTGATGAGGTCTTCAGCAGATACAGTCTTCGCAGACTCATCTACGCTCCCGCTTTCAAGTGATTCATTAAGAGCCCTTTCTGCATCCTTGTGTCCTCGAGAGCGAAGATACTCCAATACCAGGCGGTCAATTGAGCTTACGTTCTGGGTGACATCGGGTGCACTGGCGTTGACTGGAGAAACACCTCCAGAAGACGAGGCTGCAGGCGTTGCAGCAGACATAGAAATAACCAGTTCAATGTCCGGTTTGTAATGTCAGAAATGATTGTACCGTGACGTCGAGGTCCCTAATGTTCAACAGAAGTGTTCGATTACGTAATCAACAGTACGATTGTAATTTACAATAAAAAGATCGGTAATTTAGTTTGTCTGTTAAACTCTGTTCAAACGTTCAACCCGTGAATTAACCTCTTCGTGCTCTCTTGCTGGTACCTCCTCTCCCTCCGCTTGATCGGCTGCAGGCCCCGTAAGAAGCCGACTGCGACACAGGACGCTTATTGTTTGTCGGTGTGGGTTCAGCATTTGCGTATCCTGCTCTTGCACATTCCTTGTCGAACGCTTCTACCAGAGCATTAAAATCAACTTCTACCATGCTTCCAAACAGCGGATGACTGGTGGACCACTTTCCCGCTGTCAACCTGGGAGACGTAACACCAAATGCCATGCGCGCGAGGAGGCGAGGGTCGTCACGTTCGGGACATGCGTTCAGAATGGCCTTGATCTTAATAGGATCAGGCAAAGTGGTGATCCCTGGCTCAAAAGTTATGCCCTTGCCCGTTCGACAGAAGCTGCACGATCCGCACAAGCCAGTAGGAATGGCCGCCTCATCCCCGAAATATGAAGCAAGACACTGTGCCATGCCTATACTCCAGACATAGGCACCATATATGCGTCAAAAATTGTGGACTCACATTCGTCATTGGTAGCGAAATTAATCACCTGTTGGAGCTTGACTACGGCCTCCTCCTCTTTATCGAGCATACGGTTGTACATCATCTCGGCGATATTTGCTATTTCTTCTTTTTCCATCGGGAGAGGTTTGAGTATCTTATATCGCTGCAGCAACATTTCAATCGACAAAATATTGGATTGATCAATTATACTTACTGCTCTAACTTGTGAAGCTTTCACATTAGCCCAATCTAGATAACAGAGATATAAGTTAGTACCAAGAAATGCTGCAGAACGTAGAACGGGATCCCGTACCGCTGAGCTCCCAATCACTTATTTTTCTCGCGAGATCTCCGCGATCCTGGCCTGACTGTTGAGCTGCAACAACTACATCGATCTGTGACAGTTCGTTAGAGGGATGAACCACAGCACTTACAAAGACATACCTGGTAAGTCGACCCGCGGGGTTTCCAGTACATCTTAATTGTCTTTGCTACCTCGGACTTATCACCCATTACCTTCTGCCAACCGTCAGCTGTGCACGACGATATATCATACTGAGAGTATAATGGCGTCACAGCACGGATGTAGTTGTACTCG